AAGAGAAACTAGAGAGAGGCACTGGTCATTACCTCTAGAGAGGTAGGCCTGGTGAGCCCAAGATGTGCTGGACAGGATACTGTACCTCACAGACAAACTGATAGAGGTTTTCTTATCAAATACCTAAAAATAGCTTTATGTGTTTGGTAACATTATTTTACAGCAATTAGAAAATTAAGTTATTAGAAATTCAACTTATTTTACCACCTCCTTTTAGAATCAAGTGCCCCAGTTTAGACACAGAATATATAATCACACTACTATTAACGAAACCCTTTATATTCCCTATCACATTATAATGGACTCTGTTAGGCAACATGTAGACATAACTACATAAAGCATTTCCTGGGTCCTCAAACCGAGAACCCAAAGCCATGACAAGGGTCCACCAACGAGCATATCAACTCATCTCACATTATTACTAAAGTAAACCTATTTTTGGAACCACTGTGATTCTTGAGCAAACACAAAAACATCTCTATTCCACAATAAGCATGGAAAAAGAATACTCCACACAACCCAGAATTATATATGCTATACAAAGATTCAAAATTCTATGAAACAATTACTTTATATTTATTGTTTCACAAAGTGTTTCAGAATTATGTATTAACCCAGAGGAGTTCATTCATTTTGAGTATCTAAATAGAGTTTAGGTTTGTAGGAATCATGAAAATAGTAAGTACAATAATGGAGGAAATTTTTATCATTGTGGATAGCAAACAATTATTTACTACATCCAACAGCATCTTTTGGAATATAATTCATTAAATGGCCTAAAAAAAAAGCCAGTAAGAAATATATTTGAACAGTATAGGACAAGCCTAAATATTTTTTAAAATTCTTGAAAGACAATTATTTTCCTTAAGAGACAAGTTGGCCTACACTAAAGGCAAGGTCATCTGAAGCTCCTAGAGGAATTTCAAAACCTTTCAAGTCTAAGAACAGAAAACAATAAAAACCATAAACCATTCCTTTTGTCTGCAACAGCTCTTCCATTCTAGATTAATATCTTAACAGAACAAAATCTGAAGCAAAGAAAACAAACAAACCATCTTTGACCTCTGAAAAAATGTACTATAGGATTGTCAAATGACAATTAATTCTCAAAACATCCCAGATAAAAATTCAGGTCTTCTTCCCATTCAAGTACAAAAACTTATACTTAAAGTGCCAAATTTAAATTTTTAACATCAATAAGTATTTATAAAACAACTTTAATCCAACTTTAATTTATAATAACATAGTTAATATTTCAGTGAAGATGGTGGGGCAAGGCCCACTTCTACTCCAAGCAAACAAGAGTCTGAAGTTTGCATAAGACCAAAATGTGGGAAACTTTACAAGTAGCCCAAAGACCATAAATCCTACTTTAATAAAATTGAAAAAGTTATTACATCTAATACTTGGCATACATTCTATTCATATACAACACTGAATAGTTGTGAACATATTTTAAAGAATTACTAACCCCTGGCTGGTTTGGCTCAAGGGATAGAGCATCGGCCTGTAGACTGAAGGGTCCTGGGCTCAATTCTGATCAAGGGCACATGCCTGGGTTGCAGGCTCGATTCCCCAGTAAGGGGTGTGCAGAAGGCAGCCAATCAATGAGTCTCTCTCATCATTGATGTTTCTATCTCTCTCCCTCTCCCTTCCTCTCTGAAATCAATAAAAATATATTTTTTTAAAAAGAATTACTGACTAGTTTACTTTAAGATCTTTAAATAAGATCTGTTAAAGAAACAAAAATTTATCTTGAGTAGTTAACCAAAGTAGCCCTGAAAACAAACAAACAAAAAAACAACAACTAGGTTTTAAGTCCCAGCTGTTTTTTCAGCGTATGAAGCTGGAACACATAAAGGTCCTTTCCAGCTCTAAAATAATACTCTAGATCAGGGGTCCTCAAACTACAGCCCACGGGCCACATGCAAATACAAATATTGTATTTGTTCCCGTTTTGTTTTTTCACTTCAAAATAAGATATGTGCAGTGTGCATAGGAATTTGTTCATAGTTTTTTTTTAAACTATAGTCCAGCCCTCCAACGGTCTGAGGGACAGTGAACTGGCCCCCTGTTTAAAAAGTTTGAGGACCCCTGCTGTAGATGGACAAGACTAATGAAAACAGTCCAAATGCTTTTACAGATTTTAGATCTCTCCTGAATTTCTATCATGTAAAAAAGAAAAGTCATTCTAGAAATTCCTGATAAAAATTGAAATACACCAGAATAGGAATCAAAATCAGTTCTCTCCTCCCTTTATGAACTAGGATTTACACACAACTATCGGAGACACAACAGATGTACAAAGTAAGCGTGGGTCCAGTATTTGTATTTTACTCCAGAGGGAGAGGTGGTCCAGTGGCAAGCTATGGAAAGAGGATGCCTACTCAGATTTCCAGGTGCATCTCTTAGGAATATGTCATTTCACTTACTTTATTACTCATATTTCCCATACTTAAACATCTCTTTACTTGAAATGTTTCCTATGATCAATGACATATCGTGGTTTAATTGTTGTCCCCCTCCCCCGCCACTTAGGAGTATGTGACATAATCATAGATTTGATGAAATATGTTATTTCCCTGCATTGCTCCTCTTGAAAATGCTTCCAATTCAGTCCATATCTAATTGTTAGTACAGTTAAACACACACACACGCACACCTGATTGTTATAAAACATAAAGGAGCTTGAAATAAAAAAAAGTTAATCAACAATTCACCTGATACTCTTTAAAATTCAAGTTGAAAAAAAAAATAGCATCTAGGAAGAAAGTGTATATTCTATATTCCTGAGACAGATAAAGTAATTTGGAAACTGAATCTTGAACTTTCTTCTGTTACTTAATTTTGTAAAAATGCTCTTCTCAAATCACCACATACCAGTACTTTGCAAAAGGAGGTTTGGGTCCTTCTAGTAACACCGTCATTTCCTCTACCAGGACAAAGCTGAATCTTGCCAATGAGTTGTAAGGCTCAAAATACAAGGGAAGAAAAATGCTCTGTTACCTAGTGTACAGGAAAGAGCTGTACGCCGTGGTTTCATTCTAAGGTCAGAAACTAAGGGTTCGAGTGTCTTCATTCACCTATTTCATCCTGAGAAAGAGCTCTAACGAGTCTGAGCGTCAGTTTCCTCAGTCTGTAAAGAGTATGTATCAGCTGCTGTACAACCTGACTCATCTGTTCAACCAACACCACCTGAATGCTTACCAAATGCTGTGCAAGCATTCACGGAGAAGACCCACTAGTCACGCAGTGGTTCTCAACCTTCTGGCCCTTTAAATACAGTTCCTCATGTTGTGGGACCCCCAACCATAAAATTATTTTCGTTGCTACTTCATAACTGTAATGTTGCAACTGTTATGAATCGTAATGTAAATATCTGATATGCAGGATGTATTTTCATTGTTACAAATTGAACATAATTAAAGCATAAAAACAATATGTAATTATATATGTGTTTTCCAATGGTCTTAGGCGACCCCTGTAAAAGGGTCGTTCGACCCCCCAAAGGGGTCGCGACCCACAGGTTGAGAACCGATGCCAGTGTGACACTCAGGCATCACCTCGGTCAGAGAACACAGCCTGAGTAAGACAGTACCACCTGACACCCCCCCTCGCCCCGTTCGCACCTGACCTTTAAAACTCCACACACCTGCATGACATGTAATGGAGTGAGTCCTTCAAGCCAGCCCCCAACAGCGGGCAGCGGAGGGGGCACATCTGCTCAGGGAAATCGCAGTTCCACACCACGCCGGTTCCCGCGGATGAACCTGACTCCCGGAGGGTCGGCGAGGGTTCCGGGCAACTTACACCGTGACCCCGAAATGAAAGCGAAGGCGCTCCATTGGGAGTGAGGCGCGTGAAGGTAGAGAAAAGTGAGCCGGGGGTGGCGAGCAGCGCCGCCGGGCCCCAACGCGCTCTCCCCGCGCCGAGTTAGCAACTTTTCCCTCTGCGGTGGCGGGAAGACGAGGGGATGGCCCAGCTCGATCCCCGCACGCGAGGCCCGTGCGGGCCCCGGGATCGCCACAAAGGCCCCCATCCTCCTGAAGGGTCGGGATGCGGGCTGAGGAAGCCACACACACACATACACACACACACCCGCTCGCCT